TTGTTGCACCGATTGATTTCCTGCGCGCTGTCGAGTCAGCCTAGTTTGAACTAATCTTGTTGCGTCGAAACATCAAGGTTTATGTTTTGACTGTCGCGACTTCTCCGCGCATAATTGGCGCTTGGCGGCCCAAGCCTCAGACCTCTAAGGGCCCGGGGTTCAGACCCCTAGGTTGAGCATGCTGATCAGGGCCCACCCACGCTAGGTTCTCATCAAGGATTGGACACGTCTGCAACAACAATGCAGTGTTGGTCCTGCACAGTCCCCGCAACGTGGCTTGTTGCGCCGCTGGATCTCCTGCGCAGCAACCGAAAACCGCAAAGCTGCTGAGTCCCGGCAGCCTAGCTTGGACTAATCCAGTTGCGCCTATTGGTTTCGTGCCAGCCGCTGAAAACCCTCAAGGTTTAGGGTTTAGGCTTTCGCGATTTCTCCGCGTCTGGGTCGGCGGACTGAGCCGGAGGCTCTGCAGTCATGATGGGAATATGAGCATGAGGGCAGAAATGAGTTGACCGGACGAGGTTCCCAGGAAGGCCGCCCATAAAGAGAGAAAGCACTTCCATCCACGAAGTGCACCTGCACTTAGGAGCTTTGTAGTGCTTGAGGAAGAAGGCTTGGCTTGGAGGTAGGGGTTTGGTAAGGTTGTCGAGCTGTGTAGGGTTTGGCAGGTTTCCGCCCCTCCAGCTGGGTGAGGGTTTGAATGTTTGGGATAAGGAACGTTGGCCTATGATTTTTTTTATCTCAACAGACTGATCGAATTTTCTGAAACCAAAGGTCACAGTATGTGTGTCTCTTCCTTCAACTCTCAGAGGCCAAGAGTGGCCACCTAATGACAAAAACTCAACCAATCAGCAACCCACATGCCCACATCGATTGCCCATGACCTCTTTCAACAGCTATTTTACATTCGCTCTAACTTTCCAATGCCGACAATGGAATTCTGTTCAAGAAGCCGTGGGTCCGATTGACTACAGCAATTCTTTTCACGAAGTCATGGGAAAACTAGCAGGTACAATATTTTGAGGGGCGGTTGGGGCTGGGTTTTCTTGGGCTCGCCCTTTGTATAGTAGTCTTGGAAAGTAGCAGATAGAACATCTTCAGAGATTTTCCAATAAAATTTTCCAGGCCAGGCACAGACCATGGAATCCCACTACACCCAAACCCGGTGGACCCTCGAGCGCAACAATCTTCTTCTGCTAGTTTTTTTTGTTTTTTTTCCAAGAGTCTCTAAGTTTAGCCCAAGCACAAACAATGGAACGCCGGACCAAACCCTGCTGGACATTCTATCTGCTATTCTTCTCTTAAGGCTTGAAAGCTAGGCCAGGAGAACCAAAGCCTAAGAAGATTTCGTGCAGTCCCTGTGTTATCCCCAACCTGGAGTTTGCAAGTAGTACAGCTCCGCAAGCGACAGGGCCACGAATTCTACTGTGCACCCACATCCAAAGATGTGTAGTATGCCAATTCAAGCAAACCCGGCCAACGCCACACCGAATGTGCAGCCAAATTATCAAG